ATGAAATAGAATATTTCGTTGCATATTCATTACCATATATAATCACTTTCTGATTTAAGCTAAGTGTATTTAAATTCATAGAAAAAGTGTTGTAAAATCAACAATTAAAATATTTAATCTTGCGTCAACTACGTTTTGTAGTACGTTTACAGCGTATAGCAGTTATTTATTATTTCACCACATCATGGTACATAATATGTATATATACATATATAAAGAACGTATGGACGTTTCGTTGCAGTTACATCAAGGCTCATATGTAAATAGTTTTACAATTAATAAAAAAATAGACTATTAGTAATATTCTGCATATATACTAGTTGTAATAATAACATACTTCTGTCTATCATTAAATGACTTTAGTAAGACAAAAAAATTGCAAACATTATAATCAATAATCTGGTTTCAATTATTGTATAAAATATTTCCTGTTGCATTGATCACTCAATCAATTAACAAATTAATTAAATTATAGTATACTTGTATTAATTAAAATCACTCAATATATTAATTAAATTATAATACACTTATAATAATTAAAATCCATTTATTGTAAACAAATATTTATTGACAAATATAAATCAGTTGCGGAACGATATTAGATAAAAATAAGATTAGGAAAATTATCAGGAAAGCGAGATCCGCAAACGAATAACAGTTGACAATTTTTCGATCCCGCTAAATGTAATAATCTTCTGCTTGTTCTGCTTGCTTATTCATTTAGGGGAGCCAATATTCTCATATATCTATAAAATGTGAAGATATACTATATCTTCAGACCGCACCCATTGTCGTATGACTAGAGTTTCAGAATTCAGAAATAAATACAAAGTATGAACTACTACTAGCTTTAATAATACTTATGCTGGAATAGTTGAGGTATGAATATATTTTTTCCCAATTATATATGTATATGTATGAGAAATAAGTAACGTTTCTTTTCTAGAATATATTTTTCAAATATATTAAATATTTTTGAATATTAATATTACTCCCATAGTATATAAAAAATAAAAAAAAAATTTTTTATGAACATTGCATGAGATAATTAAACTATTATAAATTTTTTTTTTTTAAATTTACAATAAGTTTATAGTCCAAAAATAGCGCTTTGAAAACAAAAAATATCTATCGATTATTTTATTACCTAAAAGTTAATTATATAATTATTTTATTATTTTAGTTTAAGTGAAAATGCAACCATGCAGTGCAAACTGTGATTGAAAAATGTGCAAGTCGGGCTTTGATAAAGTTTTATCTTTCAGAATCGTTATTGACGAGTTTTTATATTGATAGGTAAATGGCAAAAAATATATATCGAAAATTGGAGAAGTTAGTCATGAACGGTGCGGTCATACGGAAAGAGTTCTATGAAAATATCTGAAAGTGTTATATTTTGTCTAAATGAAAGTTATTTGTAATTTAATCCTCTGGATTGTGTCATTCGTGATAAATAATATTAAATAAATATTTATATGAAATATTAAATTCATTCAAAGAAATTTCAGTTGAAAGTTTGAAAATAATAATGAGACCAGCAACAGGTCTTAAAAGTATAAAAAGTGAAGACTGTTCATTTATTTATTAATCCTAAATGTGTTTAATGTGTAAAAATTAATTATTAAAATTTTGTTATGAAATGAAAAATATTAATCAAATGAATTATTTATACTTTTATCAAAAATATAAATATGTACAAGCTCACTTTTGAAACTACTTTAGAGCATTTCTTTGATTGGAACGTACTGGTAAGGTCTAAAAATATTCTTACTTTTCAATATATACCATAAAAACATTATTTTTATAACTAGAATATGTCAGATGGTTTTTATCAGAAACTACTTTTCTTTACTCCTATTCCAATTATTCCAATTTTTTTATAGTTAACATTCTTCTTCCGAATCTATTTTCTTTTACTATTTCACTGCTGCTACCACTGACTACAGCTTACACTCTTTTAGAAGCAAAACATTCTTTCAGACCTCTCTAAAGAAGGTTATAAGGAGCGCTACAATTGTGTTTGTTATTGTAAATATTAAAATCTCTTAAATTTATTACTTATAATTAAATTTTATTATTAATTATTATTATTATTAATTTTAAATTAATACTACTGAATGCAATTTGACCAAGTTTGATTATAAGAAAATCCAATTTTCTCACTGTGATGACCCGTAGATATATCAGTCTTGTGGTAGGTTTATTTACAGGTCATTGTAGTGCAGGTAACCATGAAGAATATGCCCTTCATATCTGTCGCAGCGGTGGGAAAGACGATGAAAGTGCCTCTCATCTGCTTTGTACTTGCCCAGAACGTATAATGCGGCGACATAATACTTTAGGGATCAACTTCCTTGAAAATCTTTGATCAACTGCAACACTCCCTTCTAACAGCATTTTAAGTTTAGCCAAAGCTGGTTTCATAGCCTGATCTTTTTATTATACGGTAACACTATGGCTACGGTAACACTATGGCCAACATGTCTAAATGTATCCCCTATGAATCACCGGTATAACGTTACCTAACCTAATATGAATTAATCTGTTAACCTTATAAGAAATAATAATAATGCCATAAGTTAGGTTAGGTTTAAGTGTGAATTTATATATCCAACTCAACGTAGACTGCCGTTGCGTTATCCTAAGGCCTTTATTATGAGGCCTTCCTAGTCATCCAGTTATTTTTGTGATAAGCAGGTGTCTCTGATTAGTACATATGTCAAGCAGGAGCTGCCTTACTTTAACGTCACCTTAATTTTAATTTTTCGTGAAATTTCTATAAGCCTTTCAATAGCAATCTCTGGTAGTTATTTTGTGTCCTGAAAATATTTATATATCTGATGTTGGAATCACTTACATTTATTTAACCTTTTAATTTTTCTTAAAAATTTTATAAAGCATCCGGTAACAGTTTTTTATAATTTTTTATAGTGTTCTTAAAATATGACTTCCCTATTCTAGTTCTAATTGTTCTTCTGCTTCTTGCAGGTATGGACATTTGCACAATCAAGTAGACTTATCAATCATATTTTTTTCTCTTAATCTTGAGACAAGCTCATCATTTCTAACTCATAAGATCAGCAGCTAAATAACAAAGTATTAATGCATGCCTGCTTATTAGACAATTACCGGTTATACTCAAGTTATTAGTAACGCTTTTGGTAATTATCAATGTACTTAGTTTTTTAGACCTGTCTAAATTTAAGTTCATTAGTTTATTTTTGCCGCAAGTGGTCTTATTTCACCACCTACTTAGTATTTTTTTTGCAGTAAGATCAAAAATCAAAATATTGCTTTAGCTGGGTTTAAAAATTCAAACCCAGCAATTTTGAAAGTCAAGTGTTAGATTAAGATAAATCACTTGTTCTAGATTAACTACAGTATCCCAGTAAATACATGTTATAGCAGACACACTCAGGCTAATAAGACTAATTTTATTTTTTTGGTGCGTTTTGATTCTTTTAAATGATAGAAAATTCTATAATCTATATAATCTATATCCATAAATTCTGTTATGATTAAGGTAGAAAATATCGGGAATGTATATTTGTTATCCAAAGACAAGATCTATCAATTTTAAAATTTTAGTATATGCATCAATAGTTGATATTCTTATAGATTCAATTGAATATATATTATCAGTTATCAGTTCAAGTTGAAAAGGACTTCAGTTACTTAACTCCTTCCTTGTCTACTTGCCTGATAATAGACTTACGTGTACTGATTGGTAAGTAAATATCTAGTAAATATTTGATAGTTTATGACATAAATTGGTCGTATAATTTCAAGTTTTATTAATATAAATTGGTCTTTAAGATCATATGGTTTCTTACCATCGGACAATATACTGTAAAACCAATTTTTATTTACGTTTTCTGTTAGAACCACAATATGGATACTAGTATATGATACTAGTATATACTAGTATATGTAATCTCACGCCAAAAATTTTTTTTAAATATACTGTGTACTTTTGCACATTGAGTAAGAAATTAAAAATCTGAAGCAGTTGTTCCTAACCTTTTTTTAACTAAGGACCATTATGATATTTTTGTTATTACCACAAAGGACCACAAAGTTTAAGAACAACAAACCGTATGATTATTTTAATATGCTTTTTGCATTTTTGATATAATGTATAATAAATTGTATAAGTGCATAGGCACATTATTATTATGGCTATAAAGCATATATATAATTACTAAAAGATTTTTGTACTTATTTTTTATTAAGTGAGGTCTCATTGAATAACCTATAAGCTATATTCATATCCATACCTGTTAAATTTTGATTCACGGAATCATCTTCGGGACTACTGTTTGGTAACCATAGGTCTAGGGTAAGGGTTTTAATACTTATTCCAGTACATTTTTTTTGTAAACTTTAAATAAATTTTGACAATATTGTTTTCTATTACATACAACCGCCCTTGGCAAAATTCTAGCTCCACCATAACGTTCAACTCTTTAACTTGTTTAAATAGAAATATTTAATAATACCAATTTAAATAATTTCAAGTTTATCACTAAAGAATTTTTATTTTTATTCAAAAGCAGATAATATACATATTTCATAAATTCAACTATGTAGTCACAATTTAAACAATTAATTCACAATTAATTTTTATTGAACAATTTTTTGCTTACTTTGCAATTATATATTTGAAAGCATACTATTATTTTATTATTATTCTGAAGTTCGTATTATATAAATTTTACTATGTATTTTAAAACTTTTTTATTAACTAAATTTAACTTTTTTAAATGTAAACAAAAAAATATAAATTAAATACATGCCACAATTTTAAGTCAAATCAGCAAAATATTTTTGGTTTAAATCAAATCATGAAAATGTACTTCAAGTGAAAAAATATTTAAATTTAATATGAAGGGAAAGTTTTTATAAAACTTAAATAATACATGAAATATTAATTTTATAGTATATTCAAAATGTCAATTAAAAAATTGTAATCATTTTAATGAAGAGTATCTCTCCAAAGTCAACCCTTCCTGGTAAAAGAATTATTTGTTTCTTAGTAAGCTTTAGTCTGTTGAAAAAATTGCATAGCAATCACTGATGTGTTTGGTGTGCTGACTGTACCAATCCTGATGGATCTTCAGGACAGCCCCAATCTCGACGTGGCGACCAGCGTTTTACTGTTTCTATAGCTACTTTCCCTGGAAACATTTCTTCAAAAATAGTACGATAATGAAAAGCTTCCTTTGTAGTGGGCGTATTAATTGGAAAACGTGACGCAGCTGTACTAAATTCATCATCACTTACATGACTGTTCGCCGTTTTCAGTATAGTTTCAATCAAACTATAACCAACGCCATCAGAAAACTGTTCTTTTTGCCGCCAAAGCACAGCATCGGGTAAGAAATCTTTTGCAAATGCAGCACGTAAAATATGCTTCTCAATGCGATTCTTCTGTATGCCACCTAAACAATTTAACGCACCCGGTATTTTATCTTCCGGGCGTATCGACATCACATAATTAACAAAAGCGGTATCCAGGAATGGTACACGCAACTCAAGACCCTTCGCCATAGACACTTTATTTGCACGTAAACAGTCTGACAAGTTCAGTTGTTGCACACGTGACACCAGTTCCTTATGGAACTCAACATAGTTTGGTGCTTTGAAAAAATACAAATAACCACCGAAAATTTCATCTGCACCCTCACCGGAAAATACCATTTTTATACCAGTACTTTTTATGTGCCTCGTCAATAATAACATGGGTATACTGCAACGCACCGTTGCTACATCATAAGTTTCAAGATGATATATAAGATCACGTATAATATCCAAAGCATCTGGAATTTCGAAAATAACTTCAGTATGGTCACTACCAATGTAATCTGCTACCAATTTTGCTGCTTTTAAATCGGGTGCATTACGTAAACCCACCGAAAAAGTTTTTAATTTAAATGTTGGATCACGTTCACGTCGCAGTTTTGTGGCTATCGAAGCCACCAAACTCGAATCTACACCGCCTGAGAGTAGTGCACCATATGGTACATCACATTGTAAATGTGTACGTACTGCTGATTCAAGTTTTTTTCGCAAAATAGATAGATCAGCTTCAATGTTCGGTATTTCAGTTACCCAACGTTCATGGAAAAATTTCTTGCGTTCTAAATTGCCAGGTTGTCCATAACGATATTCGCCAGGTGGAAACGGTTCCAATTTCGTGCAAAATTCAGCAATACATTTCATTTCAGATGATACCCATATATTACCACTGGCATCCTCACCGATATACATGGGTATAATACCAAATGGATCACGTGCAATGAGCACATTTTTCGTGTGCTTATCATAGAGCACAAATGCAAACATACCGGTTATGTACTCAAATAGATTGACACCATATTCTTCATAGAGTTCAATGATGACGTTGCAATCACTTTTGGGTTTGTAGTGTCCACGTTTCTTTGCTATCTCTGCGGACTGCTCCAAATAATTGTAGATTTCAGCGTTAGCCACAAGCAAAATGTTACCATCTTCAGATAATAAAGGTTGATTTCCAGTCTCAACACCTATAATCGCTAAACGTTCGTGTAGCAATGCTACGCCATCCTCCTGCACCAATTTGACACCTGTGTAGTCAGGACCACGATGTCGTTGCTTGCCACTCTGACGATATGCAATTTCTCTTAAACTGTGCAGTCTGCCGTGGTAGACTTTCGGTTCGATAGGTTGACCGTCTTTAGAAATTATAGCAAATATACCGCACATTTTATTTATTTATATATTTTAATTCACTTTAACTTTATTATTTATTAAATTTAACTTTGTTATTTTTGTTAATGTTTCACAGACGATTTTACCTCCACTTTTGATGTTTAATTATTGCGAGTTTAAATTCAACTAAGCGGTTTTAATTTCGAACGCCGCCTTTTAAGCACAGCATTCAGACACGTCAAATCATTTACGCATTTTGATAGCTTTCATATTCAGATCAAATCTATAATTATATTAGTTTTATTAATAATATTTTAATTTCTTAATTAAAGACTAAAAAATTCATTTTTGTTTCAAACTAATTCAAGTTTGTTAACTTGTAAATAACAAAGCACTGCACAGTGGTTCAATTTTATACAGAAAGTGACATAAAAAATGGAGGAACTTATCAAAGATTCACTAAATTAAGTATACGAAATACATTTGCCAATTTAAATTATGGATTCCAAAATGTGAATGACTCATCCACCTCCACGCCAATATCCATGCAACATAAAAAACAAAAAAAAAAAATTGTGTGTAAATGTTTCAAAACGTATCAATGAAAAATGATACAGGTGCTCCCCGTATATACTAAAACTCTACTTCTCTCTTATCTTTATGGTACGAGTATATAGTCTCTTGGCTTGTTCCCGTATGTACTAAAACTCCACTCTTTTCTTATTCTTACGTTACGAGTACATAGTTTCTTGGCTTGTCCCCGTGGCTATCAGTGAGGACAAAGTATATATTTTTAAATGTATAGAATAAATTCTACATATATATAATATCTCTTGAATACATCTTGAAGTATGTTGCCCAATAAATTTACCTATATATCAAAACTAAATCTTACAACATCTTCAATGGATAATATTGAAGAAAATTGATTTAAGATTAATTTATTTATTATTTAAAGGTACTTATCTTACTTCTATAAAACAACAGATCCAAAATTGATATATTGTTCTACTATAACATAAATAACCCTAAGTCTATGATTGCAAGATCAATCGTCCCGCACTGATGAGGAAGCCTAAAAAATTGGAAAGTTGACAATTTTATATAGAAGAGAACAATATTAATAAAAATAAATACAAAAATTATATAAACAGTTTTTTATTTTACGATAATTTACGATACGATAATTGCCTTTAAATAATAAATTTTTATTATTTTATAACCAAACGAATTTAATAAAGAGTTTTTGCGAGCTAATGTATCAAATTTTTTATTGTTGTTAAAAATAAAAATCAAGAAAAAGAAACCACGATTTTTTTTACAATAATTTTTATTTCATCGATATTTCGGCTTTAGTCTAAAATTATCATTAGAAAATTTTAAATAATAAATAAATAAAATAAAAAGGTGAACTCTAAATGAATAAAGTAAAACAATAATTTTAATCTCTGACTGTAATCTATCATTTAATTTTGAAATCAAATCCTTTTTTAAGACAATAAAAATTTTCAGAAATATTAATAGATCCATCACTAAACTGTTCCATCACTTTTCTATTAATATCTCCAAACTAGTATTAAACTACTTACGAGTACTACCTTTGAGTAAGATGTTGCAAGTTTTCACTAATTTTATATCAGGTTTGGGTTTAGAAAAATATCATGTAGTTCCTTAGATTCTGTCACGAAACCGTTTATATGATTACGTAGAGTTTGGAGATGAAAAAACTATTGCCCTGTCATAATAATGCCATTTTAGGAGTATTTTCAATTATTCAATATGAAGTTAAAATTACTTAGACAAATTGTTCCAAAATTAAAAAAGATTCAGACGACTTTTGACATATCATTTTGCCATTAAGAGGTAGATTTGTCTACAGTATTTTAAAAGAATTTTAAACAAATTCCTTATAGTGATTTAGTTCTGAATCTTCTGGATCTCTTTATTTTGAAGTAGTTGGAAAGCACAAAAAAACCACAGTTGGAGACTTTAAGCCGCTAAAACCACCTCTTAGGAATGAATGGAGAAGATTTTCACCACAATATGGACACTTCATTCCAGTAGTTGGAAGAGAGAGATAAGAGGAAGTGGGCTAGGGTAGATGAGGAGTAGGTGAAGGGGGTGAGGTTATTACGTTTGGGTAAATGGGAGACTTTGTCACAACAGCCGGTGTCGTAGAGCGGGATTATGGGAGCATCCGAATCCCGTTAATTGCAGTATAGCATAAGGCATTGGGAAGATTTGAAGCGCAGGACTTGGACAAGATCAACTTGAAATTCATTATGACTACAGCATAATTTCTATAAGTCGTATTTAAAATAAAAAAATTAATTTAAATATAAAACAGTTAAGTTTTTGAGATCGTTAAGTTTTTGAAGAGATCGTCGATATTAGTCCAAAGCTAAAGTTAATAATAAAATAATTACAAAGTAATGTAATGATAAATAATAAATATATTGTATGATAAATGATAAAATATATAATGACATTCCAAAATTGCTGACTAAATATTAATCTTTTATGAAAAGTAGATGCGATAATGCCACTTATTTACAAAAAGTCAAATTTGAAAATTTATTTACGCCCATTTCTTCTCAAGATTCTATTTCAAAGTACGTTTATGAGAAGATTTATTGCAAAATTAAAGAAGATTTATATAGATTAGATTTAGATGTTGGTTAGCTTTGTTATTTTTAATTTTTATAAATTTGGCTGGACCAACAGTTTGGTTGGCTGGTTGATTGCAGTGGCAGGCCATGAGTTAACTTAGCATGTACCTCAAGTAGCGATTTTTGGTTGGTTTGCTACCACATTTTTCGCAAAAACTCCTAAGATAGAAGAATATAGACTAAATCCATCCTGTTGAATTTAGATAATTTAATAGGGCTTTCGTCACTATCGTTGAACAGTATTATTAGCTGGCAAAGAAACACCTTCCCAAAAATCTATTTCTGGTTTCCAAAGCTGGACGTTCACAGAGAAAACGTGTAATGATTTCTTTTTCCTGCAGGTTTTCACAACTTCTGCAGTGAGGATTTTGAGGAAATGCACAGAGTCTCTGAGTGGGTTTTAAAACATCAATGACAAGAAAAAACTGCAATAAGCCCTGCAGTGTTTACACGATCCCTTAATACTTTGTCCTAAAAGTTGTTATTATAAACTTATGAATACATTTACATTTTTACTTCGTAATAAATTACAATTTCAAGAACCATAAGCGACCAAAGTTATAAATATGAAGAAGTTCATATTCAAATAAAAACTTTTCTGTGGTTATCGAAACTATTCAACAGAACTTAACTGTATTTTTAATTTTTTGATGCTGTTAGATGGCACATTGACTATTCGTTACATATGTGTATATTTGAGCTAAGTGAACATTATCTAAATGAGTAAAAAAAAAGAAGGGCTGTTCATAGTTAATATAAATACAATTGCGTTATTTAATTAAATACTTAAAAAAATTATGTTTCACTATATAATTTTTTTTTTGCTAAAGTGAAATCTAATCATAATAGATTTTTTTATGAGCAAATTAAATATTTAAATGAAGTTAAAGAAGGATAAAATGTTTTGAAAACTCTTTCGATTTATACCTTTAAAAACTCATCACTATTCATAATTTATTAAACATTAAAACTGTAAATATTTATTTATTATTCTTATTAAACACTGTACTATTAAGTGAAACTGTCAGTTATTATTAACAATTTGTTATTAAGTAGAGTGTTATTGACTTAGTACGTACTGATTACATCAGGACAATTTATGGCAATTATCTTGCTGGGGTGTTGAAGCTATGTAAATTGCCATAAGCGTTTCACTGATCACAAATAATTTTATAATTTGAAATTAATTTCGTGCAAATTAAGCGTAAAGATAATATATTTAATTAAAATTAGATTATTTTAGTTTTTAATTATATATATTAACCAACTATTTATTTTTTATTGTGTTATTAAATTTTTGGTTGCTATTGTGTCTTTAAATTGGTTTAAAAATATTTTTGATGTTCTGTGTTATAGCTGAGATAAAAAACCCCTTACATATTAAACTACCTTCAACATTAAATGAAATAATAAATTAAAAATAATGACTAAATAAATATAAAATAAATTTCCGGTTCCAATAAAAATGAAAATTGTATTAAATACTCATATTTATTTATATTAGATAATTTAAAAAATGAAGTCATCATAAATTTCTGCAGTATATACACGTCACCTATTTAAACGTTCTGCGCTTCTTCAAAATATATTTCAAAAAGAGATTCAACATTCAATGGATCTTCACGATTTGAGTACGATGTTTCTTTCTACATGTCATTCCCAAAATCTGGTTGTAAATCTAATGTGTACGCAAGGGTTTGCTTTAGATAACGATAAAAAAGAGGGACTAAATGACATGATATTGAACTGGTATATAAGTGTTTATTAAACTCCAGGTAAAAATTATATTCTCTGGAATTTTCAATTTTTTTTTTAGATTTTTTATTACCATGTTTATTATATCAAGCCGATTTTTGAACATTACGTTAGGTTGGAGTGGCGACCGAGAAATTTCATTTGAGCTTAAATAATGGCCCGTTGTGGTATCACAAGAATAGCGTTGGTTTGTATATAGACAAAGTGATCACCATACGAGCAACGCCGAAAAAGGCAACGAATCGAGAAATCGGGACATTGTATAACACAAAGTGATAATTGTGAACTATTTGATCAAAATTGCAAGTATAGATAAGTATATGATACTCATAAGAATAAGATCTTCGATATCACTTGTTAAGAATACTGGATTAGTAAAATGTTGAACTGTTTTTTGTACTCAAAAAGTGAATTTTACACAATATCTTTTTATGTTTGGAATCAGATTATGGATACTAAGTCAAATTAATTGGCTCTTTTTATTATGTTTATAAAATACAAAACCATATACCTATATTAGATACATTCTTTTTATTTCACTAAAATAAAATATTTTTAAACAGAAATTAAAAGAAAAATGATTATTTTAATCAAAAACAATTTATATATTAGTTTAGTAAATACTTTACTACTCTT